TCCTGCTGATGCTACTTAACCTAATATTTCAGAGCTGCAGAGAAAACACAAACTTCCTTTTGAAGGTTCAGGAAAAGGAAATAAAAGAGGATTGTCTGGGGAAGGATGCTCATTCTTGGCCATCAGTCAGTCTTCACTTTGAAACAGAGCAGCATTTACATAACACTGACGTGAATACTTGATCACCTCTTGAGGTTGACCCTAGAGAAACACACTGCGATCAAAGGGACAGATTAAGAATCCTATATTAAAGGGTCAGATCTTTGTCAGCAAGCCAGCATGATATAACACAATACGCAACACACTACGAATTACACAATACGCAAAACAAATACATTTATATGGATACGAATTACACAATATGCAAAACAAATCCATTTATATGGAAGTAGTTCCCTGCCAAAATGTTTGAGTGTACAAAAACCCCATGTTAAGTACTACTTAGTTTGAAACTCAGAATTTGAGATCACGCAGGTCCAGCCTTGCAGATGCAGAGTCAGATTTGAGAGTGTAATCCTGGCCATGTGTGTGCTCATTTCTGAGTCTGCACTCTCAGATTTCTCCCCTGCATTTTGTGTAAATATACTATATACATACAGTATATAGTGTAAACTATATAAATAGACTGAGCACAGCAGTGTGCAACTACTCCAAAATGAATCTGATCCTTGTGCATGTCAGATGATGGCAAAATGGGTTTTTTATAAGTTATTGTATAGTTTTGAACAAAGTGTTTCATATTATAAATGACCTGAGGTGATCTGCTACTTGCATAAATGCACTTGTTCAAATATTCGAAGGAAGAGTATAAACATGAAATTTAAAAAGCCTAATAGTTATGGGAACTTCAGGTTCTTTGCAAAAGACCATATACAACTACTTATTAATTACTGGTGCCTTCCTGTGTATTTGGAAGGAAAATGTGTCTTTCCTTAGATTAGATAAAACATGTATTCTCATAATCCAGTTAAGTTGTCATGTTTTGTAATATGAGGACCCAGATGCAGACCAGGGCCAAAAAGGTAGTGGTAAGGTGTGACAGGGCTGTCTGAGGCAGGTAAACAGGACAACTCAGATAGAATGGCTGATACAGGTAGGTATATAAACAGGTAACTGGAATACAGGTGAAGGGGAAGGCTATAACACAGATAAGTATAATGGCTGGAACAAAGACTGGCTCAGATAAATACAACAATGTGAGTAAAATGGCTGGCTCAGGCTAGTACAACGATGGTGACCTACTGGCAGGCTCAAAAACACACAGTACAGGTAATAAAGAACACATGGGCAAATAAACACAGATTTATGTAAGCAAACAGTTCAAATCAAGAAATAGTTTACGAGATACAAGAACCCCTAAATATGCTGTGGGCATCCAGAGATCGGGCCATATCACGTTTTTCTGTTCCTCTACAGGGGAATTCATTTGGCAGCACCAGTGGTGTTTTGACAGTGCTGTCAGAATCAGTAAGATTGAAATACATCAGTAGAAAACCAGGAGCTATTTATGTTTTTTGAACCTTACATAAAGCATGTATAAATACCCCTCCTCCCAAAAGCTGTAGCATAAAATTAGCTCTTGTACCAAATTTGCATGAAAGTGAGTTAGAGAAAAACACCTGAACACAGTGTTTTCTTTTTCAGTTGTTTTGTTTCACCTTATTAAGAACAGGCAGACCTAGAAAAATAGATTGACCTCATTTCTTGACAGGCAGTTGACAAGTCAACCCCTCCACCTGCCAAGGGACCCGTGGGGTTTGGGTGACTGGCATTAGATACTGCATTTTAGAATGGCAACCTGACAGGTGCCAGGCTCGATGGGATTTGTGGGAAGCAAGCATGAAACAAAGAATCACCTTTGAAACTACAATTTGATTGACTGCTGCTCCCATTACCACAGTTGAATTTCTAAAGCTCCTTAGACTACAGGCATGAGAAACACTCAGAGAAGCACATGAGAGGAAGAGGTGGGGGAAGCAGGGAGGAGAGGATGTGGAGCTCACAGAGCTCAGCAGTGCAAAGCCCTTGAAGTCGTCTGTAGCTCAGCAGCTGCAGAGAACCTGGCAGGCAGAGAGCAGGGAGAAAAAACGACGCAAAGATGTTCACCTGAAGATACACTCAGTGCAGTATTTTTCCTCTTGCTCTTTCCTCACTAAAATTCAGTGAAAACCTCCACTTTGCATGGTCTTCAATATGGATTATACATTTTTCACTGCATATAAAAGGTCAAGCTCCTCATTTTGGAGGATGTGTGTGAAGATCTCTTC